GTACGTAGTACTAAGCTAAAAGGGTACAATATTACTTCATCTATATAAATAAATTCTTTTTTTTTTATTACCTGCTGTTTACCGTGTTCATATACTTGAATAAAACTATAATTAAAGAATTTTTTGTATGAATGCATGATGCACATATTTCCGTGCATGTATGTTTGTTATTGTCCTGACTGCACCAATTACCTATTTTTTCATCCTTCGTTTTTTTTGTTTATTATTGCTAATTAAGAGATAACACAAATAATAAGGATGTACATACACAAAAATAGTGTAGTTACATTTATTTTATTTTATTTTATTTTGTGATTATGGTTACGTACGTACATACATAAATTCAGTACCCATTAGGATCTAAAAGATACAATGAAAATTAGAAATAGGGTAGCGTTTTATTTCCTACTTTCTAATATAGATATTTTAAATCTTACCTTTGCTTTTTCAGTGATTATTCATGGTCTCCAATTTTGATCAATTATCGAGATTAATTAGAAAATTATTCTATATAAAAAGTGTATTACTAAAGTCGATCATGCGTTAATTTCTTTTGCTTCTGTTAAGAAGTTGACATTTATTTTCTATACTAAATTATTAAGTCACCTATCGGAATAAGTGCGCATAATAGCTTTTACTAATTACTTTTTTGCATATAGACCGGCGTCCCCGAAATATACATCCCTTTAAGACGAAACCACACGACCAAATTGTTTTTCTTTTAATTTAATTTCTACATGATTGTGTATGCTATCAAAATTACAAAACGCCAAATTTTGAGATAAAAGATGGCGTTAAAGATTTTCGATTTGTATAATATAAAAGGCAGATGATTTATCGAAAAAAATCAATTTCGATATGCGAGAAACCAATATTTTGAACTATTGTACACTTGCAGTAAATCTAGATATCTCTACATAATATCTGTGTGCCATAAAAATAATATTAACTCAAATTTTTTAAACTTAATTTAAATTGAAATTTAAGAGTTTTAATAAAAGTTTCAACTTGCAAATGCATATATATATAGATATGTATGTGATTTTATATAGTGCTTATTTTATTGTATGAATGTAGTTCTTTGAAGGACTTCATTTCAAAGAGCTTTAGACAGAATAATTTCTGTATAATTTTATGTCCTTTGAGTTTTTGACAATCTTTTGTTATGATTTTTTTGGTTTTCAATTTTTTCTTTTTTGTTTCATCAGAAAAGATGCTTCAAAAAGTATTCAACATGGTTTCATTAGATTTTCTAAATAATTTTCAAAAAATATTTTTTGAATTTTTGTTAAAAAAAAAAAAAAAAAAACCAAAAAGGGACATAGCTTTTAAGGTTATTTTTTTGATGGCAACCGAAAAGTTATCAAAAGAATTAAATAAAACTTTTGAGTTTCATTTTTTTATTTTTTTTTTGTTGTATTTTAAAGCCCATCAAAAGAAGTAAAAAACTCATTGAAAGAATTTTATACACAAACATATAAAAATTACAAAAAAAACACTTACCTTACATGGTATTTTTAAAATTTGTACAAAAGTTTCAGTTTACGACCGAATACCGTTCGATACGGAGCTCGGTAGTCGAATTTTGTTCGCTTATCAATAGAATGATTGGATCGCTCATCAAAAGAATCTATTGAATGATCAATAGATTGATTTTTATTTTCGATAAAAATGCATATAAGTTAATAGTAAGATTTAGATCAAGCCCGGCGACCGAAACGGAGGCGCTACTTCATTGGTATAAAACTATTTGTTATAAATCTTTATGTATGTATGTTTGATTAATACATAAAAAATTTTTTATACACTTTAGTTCTCATTTTTCTCGCAGTTATAAGATCAGTTTCAACTGCAGTGTATTTAAGTAAAACTTTTAGTTACTATTTTATAACTATATAACTAAATCTTAATTCCTTATCCTGAACCGAAACATTTTAAATTACAGTTAAACGTTGTTATCTATAGCTTAAGCCTTATCTATGAAAAGCTTTTAATGAGTATGCATCAAAGTTTCTCAAAGAATACATTTGAAAGTTTATATGGGAGAGATGTAGAAGAGCATATACATATACGATAAGATTAGATGGCTATAGAAGAAATTTCATATATATGAATATAAGTTGATAGAGTTGTTGTACATCAAACTTGTATATCAGAATATCATAGCTAATTACTTTTCATTGATGTGATAAACTATAAAGAAAAGAAGTGATTGGTGTCAAAATATATTGATGAATTCGACTATTCTTCGTAACAAAATTTCAGTATGTATACATATGTATGTATATATGTACATTTGAGTGTTATATTGTATAGATGCACATAAATTATTATAGAAAACAAAGCCTATCTGTATACAACACGCCTAAGATCAAGGAAAATGTAAGAAATTAAAAAAAAAATAAGAATTTTTTTTTGTTTTGAAAAAGGATATTTTTTTAATCATTTTGAAGTTCTTTTGAATTTTTATAAAAAAAATTGTATGATAACTTATATGCGTATATATATACATATGTATATGCATAAATGTATGTACTAATATCTGTGTATACTTATGTATAAAATGTATATAGCTACATATATGTATGTATGTATATAAGTACAAAATGAAATGAAAATGAAAACTCATTCGGAAATAAAAAGTTACCCTAGCAACCCCTTTTTCTACTGGTCATTTTTGCCAAAAACAAAAAAAAAAAGAAAAGATTAAATTGTTTTGTTTTTTCATTTTATTTTGCTTTTAATTTCATTTGTCATTTCCCCTTGATTTGGCATTTTGAAAATTTTGTTGAAAACTTGTGCTTCTTATAGGACCTTTTTGAACTCATGCTTCTAAAAAGCGTTATAAAACATACGTATGTATGTATATATGTATATATTTATTCATTTATTTAAAATTGTATTTAATATAGATTTTATTATCCTTGCTCTTTAATTTTCCCATTCTCTTCAAAAAAAAAACAAAGTACTCTTTACTCATCCATGCTCCTTATTGTACCAAGAGCTCAAACCACTTTCATTTTCTTCTCTCCTACAATTGAAAAACAAAAAATAAAATAAAAAATAAAATTAAAAAAGAAAATTTTATTTTTGTTGACATTTTTTGTTTTAGATTTTATTTGTTTGATTGTATGTTTTTTGAAATTTTCCTGCGATTCTTATATACTTATTCTTTTTATATTTTACCATGGAAATTTACAAAAAATACAATATAAAAACGAAAAACTTTCATTTTTTAAGAATTAAAAATATTTTTTTGTTTTGTTCTTAATTTTTTTATTTTACTTCATACCTTCTTTCCTTCGTAAAGAAAAAGAATATTTTCTAGATTTTTTTATTGTAGGAATGTATGCAGTATCTATTGCTAAATTGTTAACTTAAAATACAGTTCCCTTTTTTACCAACTCACATCACTCAATCACCAAATTTCATCGTGGTAGAGAAGCGTAAATAACCTATTTTTAGAGAGATCTTCGGTTTTTTGTGTGGAGTTAATTTATTTGGAAATATCAGGCCTCGAAAACCGAACTTAGAGCCGATATAACATTTCTTACCATATCTACGAAACTAATTGATGGAGTTGGTACCAAAACTAAATGATAGGTGACATTTGACAGTTGACAGCTGACATTTGCAAGACAAATTTTGACAGGAGAAAACTGACAGCTGTCATTTGACAACTGACAGGTGACATTTGATAGAAAAGGGTTGATAGTTGAAATTCGACTGGTGACTTCTGACGTATACACTTATAGAATTTGTGCTTCACCCAGATGAAATTTCTATATACCATTGTTCGAATCTTCAAAATAAACTATGAAAAATTAAAATTTTTTTTTTTATAACATTTTTCAATTGGAAAATTGATACTTAGAGTAAAGTACCTGCGCGTGTTGGATATTTGTTTACCTATTTTAATAAAATATAAAAATATATACATATAATATGTAGAAGTCGAACTCTATATATATCCACGCATTGTCTCTCAGGGTGACGTATCAACTAGCAAGAGTAAAATAGTAATTAAACCAATGTTTTATTATTCTATTTAATATGTACTCTATTACATTATGTATACAATTTTTAAATAAAAATATTGATTACTGTTTAGGTGTCTCCGATATTAGGCTTACGTCAATTATACATACATACGTGCATGTAAAATTGAATTTCTCAATCATTTAGTTTTTGAAAATATTTTAACCCTTAACGCAGTTTGCAATAAAAATTGAATTTGTAAATTATTTATTTAGTAATTTACTCACCTCTGAAAAAAAAATAATTTAAAGCAATTGTGTAAATACGGACACAAACAATACTTTTAAAAGATTGAAAAAATATATTTAGACAAAAACCAATTTCAAATAAATTGGTTTGTGTAAAAACTGTTATCTGTTTCAAAGTGAATTTGTCTAAATTTAAGGAACACCTGTCGGGAATTTTCCAAAAAAAAAATACTATGTTTCTGCTTTTAAATCAAGAAAATGAGCTTTTCAGAAAGTTCCGCACGAAATATATATTAGTATTTAGTACAAATAAAAGAGTAAATATAAGAGTAATGAATAAGAATTTTTTCGAATTTAACAAAATATTTTTTTTCATTTTAAAAAAATTTTTTTGGTTAATTTTTCCGTTTAAGCTTTTGTAATATCGAATTTGATTTTACAATGGATTTTTCTACATAAGTTAACAATTTTTAAATTAATATGAAATGTCTTTTAAAATAAACTTTGCCTTTTAGCCTATTTGTAATATAGTAATATAAAACTACGAACTAAAATTAACCCTAGATAATTTGTTCAGAATTACGTTTAGATTTTTTACAATTATAAAAAAAATCTAATTAATGTAGAAACATTAAATTAAAATAAGTTAAAAACAATCAGAATAACATTTTAGTACATTTTAGTAATCAAAATTTTAGAACCAAAATAATTAAAATGCCCATCCCTAACATTATCTGCCAAAAGTTGACATTAAAAATTTTATTTTACCAAATATCAAATACCAAATAGTCGGATAGTTGTCTCGATTCAAATTCATCGTGTTTATTGTATTGCTTTGCTTTTTCCCATTTTCCAAAAGAAAAAAAATTAAAAGAAAAAGCATTATCTGATTAAATTTATTAAAAAACCGTCTTATTAGATTTCATTCTTGGTATAAATTTAATCTGTTTAATTAAGTAAGTATCCAGCTAAAAAATGCATTTGGAAAACTAATTGTAAATTGTAAAACTAAATAGTGAAAAAGATTCAAAAAGAATTTCAAATAACAAAAATAGAAATGTTTGTAAAAATACCATTAATAACAAAGGGGCTAAATCTGTAAATGTAATTTTAAAGAATACGTAAAATACGTAATTGGATTTAAAATTTACAATATATTGGAATAATATTGATTTGTCAAATAATTAAATTACAAAAGGAAATTACAAAAAAAAAATTTGAATTATCTTTATTAACATAAGATTTTTTTTTATTAAAGGGCAAAATATTTGACACGTGCAGCAACTCACGTACATTTATAAATTTCCACATTGAATTTTAAAATCAACAAAAATAATTTGTTTGGATCTTTGGATGGAGCCACATTTAATTTTATTTAACAAGCATTCGCAACAAATATCAAAAAAAGCATATAAAATTTTAAAAAATAAGAAATAGAAAATTTTTTAAAAATGGTTAAAGTTTCTCATTACGAAACAAGTTCAACATTTGATTATTCATGGAAACAAGTTGTGCAAGCATTTTGGAATCGATATCCAAATCCCTCAAGGTAAACTAATTTCATTCTATTATTATATGCTTAAATAATTAATTATTATTAGATAATTTTTAATGAATACAAATTTAAGGTTATATTAGGAAATTAAATTAAATTAAATATAACCAAATAAATTTATTACATACTTATGCACCAAATTTATGTTCATATATAGATAGGTATGTATATATTTATCTATCTATTTGCATATCATCTTATAATATAAGTACATAGGTACCTACCTATCCACCAAAAATATTATTATTGGCTTGCCGATTATAAAATGACGTCACAAACATTCTAATAATATATTATTTAATGAACTTTTAATTTATATAGATTGGTAGGTACTTGTCTACACCTACGTACGTTAAAGACCAATTTTTAATAAAGAACAATATGGAACGAATTATAAATAAGGAATTTTGTTTTAATATTAATCTGAAATTTTTATAGATTGTAAACCGAAATTTTTGTTTTCTAAAATAGATTTAATTTGAACATGAAGGCAAATTGATTATATAATGTGAAACATTTCATTTAAAAAAAACACAAACTAAATAAAATACAGTTATACAAAAATTGAATTAAATTTAAAATAAGTATCTAGTTAATATTTTTATATTTATTGGGTAATCCTACTTCAGTAGGGACCTCCCATTTCTTTTGTGACTACTTTGCTTTACACAAAAGAAAATTGATCTTAAATATATTAATTACATTATGTAGTTATTATTGCCTGTTTTCATAAATCTAATTATCTGAACTTTAGCTTAATTTAAAAACAAAAAGGAATGTTATTTTTGTAGATTTGGAAAATTAGGTCAAGTATCTTCATTATGTACAATTTATACACATATTATTAATAATAATTCACGCCTATCGTTTTTATTGATCTTCTATCTAGCTAAGATAAAAACAGAGAATTTTATTTAATTTTATTTTCAATTTAATTCAAGGTTATTTTACTCAACGAAATAATTATAAAAAATTGGATATTATTTAACTAAATATCTTTTATTACAATATTGAATTAGAAGTCTTAAGAATCGATAATGTAAATATAGGTACCTACAAACATAAATACATATGCTATATATATTTAAAATAAAATCTAAAAATAGGATGACACAAAAATACAATTTAAAATAAATTCATATAGATAACAAAATATTTAAATAAATTACAATACTAGATGTTTAAGCTTATATGTATGTTAGAGTATGTACAAAATTTATAGAATTTATATCAGTTGCCAGATCATTAACTTATGTTAAAATTAGAATCATAACATATGATAACGATTAAATAAAAAACAAAATTAAAAAATAATACTAAAAAGGATGAAAAGATCATTCTATATTAATTAACATTTTGGAAAATTAAACTGTATATAAATTTGTAAATATTATCATAAAATTAATGCCGCTATTGTAGAAATTAACAATATTTATTTATTTTTATCAATTCATTTAAGTCAATATACTTGAGTTATTAGCAATAAGTAATAAATTTATTTAGCTACAAAGAATTTTATAACAAGCACAAAGAATATTTTATCTTCAAAAAATTTTTTGGGAGAGTTATCACTTTATTTATTTTTGAAATAAAAGAAATCTTTAATATTGAGAATTATCTTATTAAAACATACGCCTTCTCTCAAATTTAAAAGCTACAGTCACAGCATGCAAAGTCTATTTTCTTTATTTTTTGTTTCTGATTAATGTAATAGTAAAGTATAGGTATAAAGAGTTTTAAACAAAGAATTTTTTTTATTTTAAATATTATTGTATTTTTAGTGCTCATGTATTAACAGAAGATGTTGTTAAACGAGATGTAATTGAAGGCAAATTATATACAAGACGTTTATTATCAAAAACAAATCCATTACCAAAATGGGGTGAAAGATTTTATAATGCAAAATCTGTAAAAATAATTGAAGATTCCATATTAGATCCAAAAACTAAAATTCTTGTTACATACACGAGAAATGTTGGTTTTAAAAAGGTTATGGTATGTTATTTTTTTTTCTTAATTTGAACTTTCTATTGATTTTCTATTTTGATTTTATTTAATAGAAAGTGGATGAAAAAGTAGAATATCGTGAAACGGAAGATGGGAAAACAATTGCAATACGTTCAGCTTGGGTTAGTTCACAAATTTTTGGATTCTCGGCTGCAATAAGAGCATTTGGTGTTGAAAGATTTAAATCGAATTGCAACAAAACGGTATTTTCATATTTAATTAACAATAAAAAATGTATGCGATAAAAAAATAAAATTTTTTAGGTTGCCGGCTTTAATTATGTATTATGTAAAATGTTCCCAAGTAAATTAGATAGTATAAAAGCAAATGAACCCTCTAATATACATTCAGCTTCTCAATATATACAACAACATCAATTACAACCGCAATTACACAATTTACAGCAATCTTCAAAAATAACTAAAATAAAAAATGCTGGCCATGCAACGTACATTTTCGTTAAAAATCAAGCCAACAAAGTTTATCAATTATTTTCTGTTAGCAATTGATAAATTAATTTTAAATTTTTTTTTTTTTACATAATAAGAAAAATTTTCAAATACATATTTGTATATTAGGGACAAAATTCAAATTTTAGATTTTATTTAAATTTTAATTTTAATTATTTTGGATTTGGGTTAGAAATTTTATTATTAATTGTATAATTAGAATATAGATTTTGAAGAAAAAAAAAAAATTATTAAATTTTTAATTAATATTATAAAATTAAGTTATAAAATTTGTAAGTCAATCTATTTTAGTATTTAGTTTCCAAAATAAATGAAATTAATGACTTAATAAAAATACTTGATACAAGTTATGTATTGAAGTAAAAATAAATATCTAATTGATTAAAAAGAAAAAAATTTACAAAATCAGTATGGAAACTAAAAAAATGTTAATATTTTAGGAAAATTAAATGAAATTAAAATTAAACAAATTATAGTTAAAAAATTATTTATGATAATTTTTGAAAGATTTCTGTTATGCTAAAACAAAAACATCAATTAAAAACAAAACTCATTCCAAAGTTAGTAAAAAGAAAATCTGTTTAAAATATATAAACTTAATTATTCCTTATCGTGAATAAATAAGTTGTGTTGATACTACAGACAAAAAATTTTATGTATATACAATGTAAGAATTCAAAGAATTAAATTGAAACAAAAATCAATTAATTTTTAGCGGTAAAAAAAAATTGTAGGTATTACAAAATTGAAATTGTTATGATAAACAAAAATTAAAAATATTCCTTTTAAAGCGAAATGTATGTTTATAGATTTTAAGCATTAAATTTCAAAATAAAAGTTTAACAAATATAAACTATATACGTATATATTTTGTGTATTTTCTTTAAATATTCTAAACAAGAAACAAACAATTAAATAATAATTCTTGCTTTCTTACTTTTTTATATGCAATAGTTAAGATTATAAATTGTAAGGCTAATTCAATTGTTTCAAGTCTCATTCTAGAAAGTGTATATACTACAATTCTATTAATTTAGAATATGCCTTTATATACAATGTATATACAATTTATTACAAGAGGGAAATTAAAAAAAATGCACAGATTTATAATTTAAAAAATGAAATTTTTATTCATAAAAAATAAAAAATAAAGTCACAAAGTTAATTAGTTTATTGTATTTTAATAAATACAATATATTTTATGAAAACTTAAAAATAAATAACTATTTTCACCATTAAGAATATTTAGCTGTAAAGGTTTAGAATTGCAAACTTAAATAACTCATTTATATTTTAAAAACTTCATTTATTTTATCCAAACAATTAATTATATTTCGTGCAAAATCTTTATGATTTTCATTTGATTTCGTATTTATTGATACATTATACATATCAGCATATTTTTTCATTTCTTTATTACCAATACTATTTTTATTATTATTAGCATTTTTTCCCATATTTAATTTTGTTAAAGTTTTCAATAAAAATTGCAATCTGCTAAGAAATAAATTAAATAATTTTAAAATTTCATCTTTTGAATTAATTTCAATATCATTTATTATAACATGCATAAATACTGTCTTTGTTTGCAAACAAATTTCCAAAGCTCCTTGTAAAAATTTCATTTTTTTATTTACTTTATTCGAAACTTCCGATAGAAATTCTTGTAATGCTATACGTTCCAATTGAACTGTAAGATAATCTTTTATTTCTTTTAAATTTTGTAAAATTTTAGCTGATTTTTCATAATGTAATCGACATAATTGTAAACTTGTTTTTGAAATATTTTCATCAAATGATTTTCCCAATTTTCTTAATTGACTATGATAAAATGATCCCAAACGTTGATGTATTAAACCGGACCTGTAAGTATAAAGAACTTGTCTTGATCCGGGATGTTCTGTATCACAGAGTTTCAAAGATTTTTGAAGTAATTCAACAATTTCTTTTTCAACTTCTTCTGATGGCTATAAATTTCAATTTGTTAATTTATAAATTTTTTATAAAAATAAAAAAAAAACAATTATCTTACACTTTCAGCGCTACTCCAGTCTTGAACTTGTTTTGCTAGTGTAAATGTAGCTGTCGATAAGTCCCAGTTAACCATATCCCAAAGTTCTGGATTTAATTTTCGGTTGTCTAAAATTCCTAAAGCCCGTTGGTAATACGAAAATGCTTGATGATAAAAGCGTTTTTGATTTCGCATATCATTAGGTTCCTCGCCCTTCATATGAATGTGAGCCCTAAAGCGCATGAAACGGCCCATGTTGCACAACAAAAATGCTAAATTTACATTATCATGAACTTTTTCAAAAGCACAAATACCACGTATTAAATTGTCAAACGATTGTTTTGCTAAGAGTTGATACTTTGGTTCTTCATTTTTGTCACTTTCAACCCCTTTTTCAGCTTCGGAATCGTATTTTTCCATATACTTAGTATATTCCTCTAAAAATATATTTGTTTTTATAAAAGTATCTATTTTCGTTAAAAATAATCTTGAATATGACTTAAAATTACCTTGTGCACAATACATATATTTCAAACCTAGTTCATTTCGAACGCTACCCAATTTCCTCATTAAGTCGTACTTGATCTCCTCATTCATAGAAAATTTTAAAGCGCTTTCATAAAAATCACAGCTTTTAACCATTAGTTGTTCGATACTTTTAACAGGTTCAAAATCAAGAGCTGTTGTTGTTGAATTTGTTGATTCTTTTGTTAATTCCCGCAGTATGTACTCATAACATCCGTTATAGTAATTTAAAAACTGCTCCAGATATTTGTCAATTTGATCATAGTATTTTACAATTTGAAAGAAACAATCACCAGCACGTTCTAAAATACTTGCTTTTTGATTTGAAATGGAGCTCAAAAGTTCTACGCCTTGACATTTAAAGGCAAATTCTATACATTTGAGGCATATTCCAAACTCTTCTTGACTGTAGCTTGATTCTGCTTGAATTACAAAAGTTAAGCAAGCTTTTTCTAGAAGCAAAAATTTTAAATGTACATTCCACGATGTTACACGTTTATTTTGGGTTTGACTGCTCGATTCAATTAATTTTTGTTTTGAATTCGCCGTTACGCTCTCTGGTTTTTCTTCTGAAATATTTTGTTTTGCCATTTTTCCTTTTTTCTTTTTACCGAAAATTTTTTTATTAGACTCTATTTCTCCATTTTTACTTTCTGAATTTTCCCAACCCATTGGAATTGCTATATCAGGATTAGTCATTTTAGGTTCAGGTTTTAGAGATTCATATGGTAAAGGAATAGGCTGAAACGGTTTAGCCATATGTGGATTTTGTTCTTCGTGAATAATTTTACGTTTTTCTTCAGCTTTTAAACGTTCTGCTAACTCTTGATTTATATGTTCTTCATTTGTTGAAAAATATTGCAAACAACTTAAACCTTCTGAAATATGTTCCAATGATATTTTACAACGTTCGTCAAGTGTAGCTAGCAATGGGGAAGGTCGAGTTTCAGAGGAATATTTTTCATCGGAAAAGTTTCCTCTATTAACCGTTTCTTTAATAGAAATTTCCTTAAATATATTTGAATTATTGATGATAGTAACATTTTCATTTGCTTCTGAATTCTGAAAATATTCGCAATTATCATTTTCATCATTGTCTTCATATTCATAATCGTCCTCATAGACAGACGATTGCGTGTCTGAATCACAATCATGAAAATTTGGGCATTTAGGGTTAACACCAGCAGGAATATGTAAATCTGCTAACATATAGTGAGATGAAGTAACTATCTGTGGATATTTTTCTTTTGGTAATAACTTAAGGCAATTTTCTAGCAAAGCTTTTATTGACCCTGCTTTCTTTGCTGTGATTTTTTCTGAAGCGTTTCGCAAATTTCTTGCCACCTAAAAAAAGTGTTTTCATCATATTGATGTGCATATTTTGTATATACACGTTATATATTTCAATATTAGTAATACTTACACTGTATAAAAGCATGGCAACAGAAACCGTAAAGGGATTTTCATTCTTTCGATGTGGCATGTTTTCTTCTGAATTCAAATTTTTGTCCTTTTCAGGATCAACTCCACCTTTCGCTCCCTTATCGCTTTCGCAAAGTGTAGTTAAGTCATAAAGTTTTACAACGTCGTCATTTTTGCCTTTGAATAACCAATAAGTATGACCTGCTTTTGTTGCATTGGCTTTCAAAAATGCTAGTATATTTTGTGCAACATTTCTTATTATTTGTGGAGAAAATTGAGAATCTTCCAAAAAAGGTAAGTCTTCGGTTTTAATTAATTCATATTTTTGGACTATACCATCAATATGATAGCACATTACGACCTCGGGAACATTACACATTAAATTATCCAGCCAATAATCTATTCCTGTTAAAATATTTATTGGTTGTGTCATATCTCTGAGTCTTAAGCTAACACAAGGTCGAGTTCCACCTCCGAAAATTGGCATATCAGTACCAATTAGCATACGAATATCTTCAAAGGTCCACACGATATTTCTATTAAACACATGGCTCGAATTAGGATCAGGAACATTTTCTTCGATATTAGGTTCAGGTAAAACAGGACCTAATAAAGGTAATAGAGGGCGACGGTTTTGAAAGGGTGCATTAGATTCTTTTTCAATTATTTCTTCTGCGTTTTCATCTACATTTACTGGTAATGAATGTTGCAATGTGTAATATAAAAATTTTGATAGTAAATTTCTTCGGTGAACTGCTTCCCTACTTTTATCTTTTATACAAATATTTCTTGTTTTGTCACCCCCAATTTTTTTTAATTTTTCATTTATAAAAGTGTGAAGCCAATTCCAATCATTTTCACTTTTTCGCAATAAGTACTTCTGAATATCAAATTCATCTAATAATAGAGTGTTTCCAACCTTATGAACTAGCATGCTTATTACAGTTTTTGGAGAATACGGAAGTTTTAAGAGAGTTTTAATATTTTCTGCATCTGAAACAACGTCAACATCTTCCAAGCAATCAGAAAACATATGCGCCATTTTAAAACTACTGTAAATAACTTATGTACATATTACTAATTCAAGTCGTAAAACATTGTATTACCTTGCAAATCCAACTGGGCCATGCAAAGGATAAATTCCGTATTGAGTTCCAGTGGTACAAAGCCAATTCGATGGTGGCATATTGAGGTTAGTGTTATAATCTAATAATTTTAATTTTGCTGGAGCTTGAACATTTGAATACTTTACGACAGCATTTGATTTAATGGCGCTATCAGATTTAGGATTTTGATCATGTTCAATCTTCCTTGTTTCAATTTGCTTCAAAAAGGTTAAATAAACATTAATTCAAAAACGTTAGTTTTTACAAAAAGAATTTATGTCATCAAATTAAGAGTTGTTTCAAGCTTATAAAGCTTAGGCCATTTTAAAATTTTTTTATCTAAACTAAATAATAAAGCATACGTTTTATTTACACACATAGATATGTACCTACATATTATATAAATTTAGTAACATATATCACTGTTCAGTGATTATAAACTTACCTCGCTACTATCGTCTTCCATGTCCGAGATTGTTGTCAAATAATAATCTTCTATAGTTCACAGTTTTCCTTTATAACTTTTAGCTCACCTAAAATACAATGCATCAAAAATATGTAGCTTATTCTCGAAAGTCACATATTAGCAACTAAAAACATTCTAGAAACATCCTGTACAATTTTTACCGCAAGTCGCAATTGTGTTAAATTGTTAAATACAAAACATATGATAGTGAAATATAAAATATAAACAAAATCGAATTATATCAGTCAAAATAATAGGGAATCACATTTTCAATATTCTTCCTTTGACAACAGGACCATAGAGAGAGCTTATAAATAGACTGGTAGTAGAATCTATTTTTCTTTTCTTTCTAATCGAATTACCTCTCTGTCCTTTTCGGTAAAAATTTTTATCAACAACATTCTGTTAGTCGTATCAGTTGATGTGCTGAAAAGTAGAATGCATTTCATAATGCATCATTATCCCGAGTAATGCGACTAACAGAATAAGGATGTATATTTCGGGAACTTAAATGATTTTGACGATCTATTATTCTAATAAAATAAATAAAAATTTAAAATTGGTCTTTTTAAAAAGATTCCTTAAAAGATATAACATTATGAAAATGGGCGAATTTAAAAATGGGAACTCCGAAGTTTTTCAATTTTGGATGGAAAACATTTTTGTATTGCCAGTCTATGTTACTTACTCTATTCGATTGAGAAGTCTGACAATTAATGTCTGTCAAGCGATAAACATACGAAATTTCAAAACACCATCAGCTGTACATGTATCAGCTGTTCTTGTAATTATGTTTTCTTATTTATGTTCAGCACGTTAAGGTTTTTTGTTTACCTTTTCATTTTTTATTTACGTTATGAATATAGAATAATATGTACGTATATATATACATGTCTGTCAAATTATTTGTCATGCATTTGAGCAAAGAAATTGTTAAAGTAGCATAACAAGTGTAGGTTTGTAAACTCTTTAACCAAAATGCTTGAGGAAGACATCGAAGATACTCATTTATGCATTAAATGTAGTACTACTATTGTGGGCTTAGAAAATTATATTCAGCATAGAAAAAATCAGTGCACCGTAAAAACCAATTCACGTATTATTCATCAAGTATCTGAAGAACATCATCATCGTTCTCATTATGAAACTTTTGACTTTACTGAAGGCCAATCCTCGAGTTTTGCGAAGCATAGCGAAGAAAATGAGAAGTCAAACAAATCTTTATCAGAAAACTATGATTTGCCATATGATTTGGGTGCCGACATATTTTTTCAATCATTAGAACTTCAAAGCAGTACCAAACGTGGTCATCATCACTCTAACAATTCTTCAACATCGATTCCCCCGGCTATAAGTAAAACATCTATTAATTTAAATAATTTACCAAATACTGGAGCAAAAGTTTCATCCTCTAGTGGGAAGGGAAATCAAAGGAAGAACGGAATAATTTCTGGTTTAAGTCATAGAGATGAATGGATTCACCCAACAACGCCTGATAATTCAGATAATCTAATGAAAGCCGTTCATGATTTAAGTGGTACAAAAAAATGTGACTCAATATTTAAGCTGATTCCTTTTCAGCATGATTCTCCAGATCAAAGTGATGATGGTAAAATAATTATATTAAATTAAATCTATGAATTATAATACGCACATTAATTTTTTAGGGCGCGAAGATGACTTAGAAGAAGAAGATGAGGAAGAATTAGATGATGACGATTATTTAACAATTCCTGCTGATCATACTGGTGGCAAATGGAAACCAGAAAACAGTTTAAGAAACAGCCCTGGATGGGAAAATAATCATTGGTCGGATTTTAAAACAAATCATAAGGAGTTAGATTATTTCGAAAATTACTTAATCAATCCTCCACCTGGTCATACAAAAGGAAAATGGGTACCCGGCACCAAAGTCGTCAAACTTAACTATAAAGAAGATACAGAAATTGAAAAAATTTTTACTCATCAATATTGGTGTAATACATGTAATCGAAAATTAGCTTCAAAAATATTGTATGAAAGGCATTTGAAATCTAATTTACATTTAAAAAGAGCAAAACCGGAACAAGAACTTGAAAAGGCAACAGTGCAAACCATGTCTGAACGGCTAAAGAAACCTTCAATTTACCTCAATGCTACTATATATACAACGGGAACAGAATTACCAGCAACCCAAGAAATTCATGATGATAAAAGTCAAACTAAAGTTACAAAACGAAAACGACGTAAACATTTTGTAAAATGTAAAACATGTAACACTCGTCTTCCAAAATATTTACTTGGAAAACATTTAATTTCACATTATCATTATCGTCGTATGATTGCAGATCCTAGAAACTCACTAGATATGATTTTAGAAAACATTCACAGAATAGTACAACAGTCACCATTCCAATGTCAGCCCTGTCGATTTTATTGCAACATTGAGGAGGATTTTGTATTTCACTGGAATAGTATTGCTCACTTAGATTTAACTGAAGGTCCTGGAAAATTTTGGTGTACATTTTGCAAATTTGAATGTGAAGATAATAATCAAATGCGACGTCATTTAGTAAGTCTTGACCATAAAGAGGTTATATTAGCAATAAATCGATCGGTTCCAATTGTAATACGAAAAAAAATCATAATTGAGTGTACAAAATGTAAACATAATTTTCGATATAACATAGAATTAAGGAAACATGCAGAATTATGCTCGAAAGCACCATTAGGAACAGCTTCAGATGACTATCAATCTAAATTTGTATGCGAAATGTGTGGAGATACTAGAAAATCTCAATTATCTTTACAAAAGCATGTGAAAATAAAGCATTCCAGAAAATTTTACTTTTGTTCAATTTGCAAAATACGCTTTAAAACCCCTTCAGAATCTATTAAACATCGAAATACTTCGAAACATAAAATCATGGTGAAGAAATTGAAGCAAAAAGAAAACGTTTCTAAGCAATGCAGGATATGCTCAAAATTTTATTCTGATTTGAATTCGTTAAAATGCCATATAATGAAATCTCATCCCGATGAAGCTTTTTCATGTTCTTATTGTGGTGCAAAATTTGCAATATACCAATCATTGGGCAGGCATATTAGGGATAAAGTATGTCAAAAACAAAGGTTTGATGAAATCATAACACAAAATTCTCAAAGCTCTAAAAACATAAAAAATACTGAAGGTAATTAAAATAATGTTATTAATATATGTATGTATGTTTGCACATTTAAATAATGTGTATATGATACATAAAATGCATGTTTAAGAAAATTTTCAATCCAAACAAGTAATATAAATATTTATATTTCAATTTTAGAAAATCTACATGAAACTTTACCTGAAAAATATTGTAAGAGTACGCGAGCTGCTGAAGATGTAAAACTGTCGTTAGAAAACGCAGAATATTTAAATAAAGAAATTCATTGTATGAAAAATCGGGAGCTAAAGGAAGATGCATTATATCTTGTTTGTGATTCTTGTAATTTTAAGACTACGTCAACAGCTGAATTAATTTTTCATGAAATACTACACAATTTACCATCCAATTTTAATTATAAACTGTCGAAGCTGTCGTGTCCCATGTGTTCAAAAATGTTCCGAAAACATTCATTGAGATTGCATTTAAGAATTCACACAAACGAAAGAATCTTTGAATGTCCACATTGTAAAATGGCTTTTGTACGAAAATATAATTTAAAAGAACATATTGATTATATCCATTTGAAACTCAAACCTAAAGGTAAAACTCATAATCAAAATGATGTTGAAATGAATCTGAAAAAATTTAAATACAGTAGTTGTAATGAATCCTTTGTTTGTGATAAAAAATTAAATGAACAAAAAAAGCGAGATGAGCGATTTAAATGCCCTTTCCCGAAATGTATTTTTAATGGAAGAAATTCTCATGATTTGAAAATGCATCAAACAACTCACAGTGATGAAAAAATATTTGAATGCACATATCGTAATTGTACTTACAAAGGGAAAAATGCAGTCAATTTAAAAAAACATGAAAAAAGTCACTTAGATTTAGAAAAGAAATTCGCATGTACCGAATGCAAATTTGAAACAAAATATTCAACACATTTAAGAAGACATTTAGCTATACATTCCGGTGAAAAAGCTTTTAAGTGCCCACATTGTTGTTATGCTAGCAGCAGTAAGGAAAATTTGAGGAAACATATTTTAAATACCATAAAGCATAATGGTCGATTTCTTTATGAATGTAAATTATGTGACAAAGCTGATGAAAACAGGTTTCAATCGAATTTCGAGAAAGACTATAGAGCTCATTTGATTTTGTTCCATAAAATTGAGAAAGATATAAATGAAATATTAAAGAGTTAATACAAAAAATTAAAAAAAAATTAGCTATTAATAAAACACATAACTATTATTTTTTTGAAAATATATTTAAAATTTATTTTTTTACAGATACAATTGCATAACACCTTGGTGAAATAACAGGATTAAATAGCTTAATTAAATAAGTTTTGTTGAAATTCTCCTCATACAAAAATAATAGACGATCTAATAATATTAAACTTTCAATAATTGGGGCCATACACATTCGTAAAAAGTAAAACAAATTTAATTTGTTTTGTTCATTATGGTACTTTTTTTCTATTGTTGACAAATATTCTGCACTTAAATGACTTAGGTTTAAATTCAATTTTTCATTACATTTTTGAAAATAATGTTGAAAGTTGGTAAATTTTTTAATTTTTCCCACTTGCACCAAATTTTTTAAAAGAGGGTTCTCTGCAACAATAATTTCTTCTAATAAAGATCTGTAGAATAATGATATGTCTGGAAGCTCTTTATTAAAAAACGTTCTGTGAACTGACTGTGAAGCCAGCATTCGAGCATTTCGTCCCAGTACCAATTTGCTTTCTTTCAGATAATTACTTAAAGGGAATCCTAAATCTTTGTTCTTTGAACTGATATTTTTATTAACAAAAAAATCATCTTCACAAAATTCTTCATTGAGTAAATGATAACAGCATCCAATATTACATAAATATTTAATACAGGTTTGGTCTTTAAAAATTTTAAGACAAGTTGGTGCTAAATTGCCACAAGTATGTAAGCCAGTAAGACAAATATTAATGTTTTCTTCATTATCCATTTTAAACTGCTCTTTAATCATTGAAATGAAATTTGATTTTGGTGAAATAAATTCGGTAACGACTTTATAGTTTTCAGAAGCGTTACTCGTATGGTTTGTTTTATTTGTAGAAGATTGGCTTTTTTTCGCTCTTCGACGTTCTGGCTTTTGTCCAATGCTGATTATATTTTCTCTTTCAACTAAGCCTTTCCAAACTCTCTACAATAATTATGTCGAGAAAAAACCAAAATTTAATTTTGAAATTTAAAAAATAAAAATGCATATGTATTGAAATATTACCTGCAACTTTCTGTTTCGTTGTGTTGCTCCTTCGGAATTAGTTTCATTACAATCAATTCCTAAAACTTTTAGTTGATGTTGCAAAGCCATGCGAGATGACAAGTAGCCCTTCCCATCACCTGCATCTACAATGTAAACACCTTCACTGTCAGATGATTTTATAAGGTTAGCTATGAAATTGGAAGTAATTTCCACCTATATAAATAGACAAATATCCATTATAATACAAAATGAAGCAATTACAAATTTGATTCATGACTACCTCATGTAATTTTTTCTCGTTCATAAATCCTTTAACACTCAACGCATCTTCTGTTGGCACTGATTTTATTATTCTATAAAAATCTGGAAGATCAATTCCTATATTCAGATTTTCAAGCCAAAGAGATTTGCAAGAATTAACATAATGTTCAACCGGGTTAAAAGAGTTATTAGTTTGTTCAAAAAATGTTTGTTCTATTAGTTTCCCTATATTTGTCTCGGTAACATAATTTCTGATTTCTTCTGAAATCAAATTATTCCAATGATCATTAGTGAAATAGTCGACCATGTGACAATTTATCAAATCAAAATATTTATTTAAATAAACAACAATTGAATCTATATGATGTCGTATTTGGGCTTGATACATTTTAAAACGTCAAATCTTTTATTTTTTCCTCTTTGTCCGATATTTTCAAAATTGATTTAATTTTTTTATATTGGGTTCTTATTTCTTCAACTTTATCAATAATATCAATAGTTTCTACATTAGTTCTAGGGAACTCATCTATTAAACTTTTTAATGCTTGCAGTGATTTTAATGTTTTTTCGGAATTTTCCAATTGCATATAAGCTACAGTTGTACCATAAATTCTCCCCAATTCTTCTCCCAGTTCGATGCCTTTACTATAACCTAAATGGTATCCTTCAAAACTTCCTTCCTTAAGACCATCCGAAAAACCTTTTTCATAAGATGTTTTTGAAAAATTTTCTTCAATAAACACTATTTCATCAAATATATCATTTATGTCCCTTTCATCACAAGACATATTTTAAAAATTACTAATTATTTTTTATTTCTTTTAAAATAATTCAATATTCAATATTATCTGCACATTAATTTTGTTAAATGAATGTAAAATTTTGCTTACTATGTATTTGACAGACCAAATGCAATTTGTTGTCACAAATAGACTTCTATGTAAACAATAAATCTAGAAGCTCTTGTAGAAATCGTATTAAATTATCGTAATTCGCAATTGACAATGTCACTTTGATGGCTTTACGTCAATTGTCATAGCTGGATATTTGTTTACATTTATTTTATATGATTTCAAATTTAAAAAATTTTGCCGAAAAAGCACTTTATTAAAAATTGTTTTATTTTGTGCATGTATTAAAGACGCAAATGAAAACAGAGATAAATTGTGGAAAAAACCAAAATGATAACATTGAAAAACTGAAAGAGCAACGGGTAAATTGTGTAGCTTTAAGATGGGAAAGGAAAGATAAGTTATAGCTTGTAAAAAGGCAAATGAGGATATACGCTTAAATATATTGCAGGTATATTCTGGTCATTTTATGTCAATTGGGTGCTTTTAAAAAACCATAAATATTAAATTTTAGTTCTAAAACTTTGAAGTAAAATTTTTTCGGTTTGCAGTCGAATTTCCTCAAATTATACTTTATTAAAAGAAATTCAATGTCAAACTACCTTTTATCCCACTAGTTAAAAAACTGTCCTCACAGGCAAACATTCGTAATCGTGATTTTACAAAGTTATAAAGATTTTTCAATATTTAGTTCATTTTATTAATAGATCAATAAAACGAAATAAAATTAAAAATTTTTAATATAGATAAATAAAAGTTATTGAAAATCTCTGCCTTAATTGTCTTTATGACACTAAACTTTTTCTTAGATTATCTTCGATGTCCTTAATACGGCAACGAATTTCTGGAATAGAATCTTTTTGGTAAATTGTTAAGTTTTCCTCAAAGCATTTTTTTACTCCCTTTAAGTGTTTTAAGTTCTCTTTAGAGTTGAATTTTTTAATCAAAATTAAAAAAATATTTAGAGATTCCTTTTTTAATCCGGAATGTGGCATTTCTAAAATAAAAAAAATTTGCAAAAAATTTGTTAGCCCTCAAAATGTGAATTAAAATATTTAAAGATTTCAGCACTTACTTGAAACATCTACTATGGCCGTTAAAACTTCATTACATATTTTTTCAATGATTTCATCTCTATTACCTTCACAAACCCTCGGTTTCTTTTCTTTATTTTCTTCAATATGAGTGTTGTCGGCGTCAAATAATTGCAAGCGTTCTAAAAATTTGCCTAAAGCGATTAAGAGACTAACTTGAACTTGTCTTGTGCTATCTTTCAAGCAGGTGGAACATTTCTCAGCTAATTGTAATTGAAATTTGCTTTGTGTTTCAGGTGAATTTTTTGGCCATGATTTCCCTAAAGTTTCACAAACCGTTTCTTTTAAATTATTTAAAATTGTCAATTTTTTATTTTTTTCATCTGCTGATATACCATCATTTTCTTCGTTCAAACTTTTAAGATCAAGTAAATGCCACGTCATTTCATAAACTTCCTCGAAGCGATCCGCTTCTAAAGACTCTAAAACATCTCCCAAACTTTTCAGAGCTTGAGTTCTATAAATTGGTTCTTCTTTTCGACTTTCTTTCATGACGGCATCAATAATTTTAACACAAATTTCATTAGATTTATTCAAACCTTTGCAAAGACTTGCAATAGCTTGCAAAAGACGTTCCTTTCCTTGAAAAGTTCTTCCCTGAATTGAGCCTAATAAAAGATTTAATAAATTCAGTCTGTGTTTTTCCTCTAGATTCTCGCTTAATCTAGTTGCTATTGTATTAATGGCATTAGCACTTTGAGCTTTCTTTAACCAACTGGAATCTTCTAAAGATTTTTCCAATTTCGGAATAATAGCATCCAAATTCATTCGTATGCCTGCATCTCCTGGGCTTACATCAATCCACAGTTCTTTCCACTGTTCAACTATAGCTTTATTTTCTTCAGTAATTTCCTCGTGCATCGCAAAAAATATTAACGGAACAACATTTTCCATATAATCTTTGAGAAGTTCATGATGTCGTTTGTTAATAGAATGTATTGCTAAAGGAATTCCTTTATTTGTAGGGTTTTCAATATAAAAATCTTCCAATTTTACAAATAAGTTTTTTATAGATTGCTCTTTTGCAATTCCGAAGAGATGACCAATAGCACTTGCATAATATTTTCTGACAACAGCATTTCGATCTTTTAAACCTCCAAACGAAGCTGCCAAATATTTTCCGACTAATGGAGTCATGTCTTTACCTATGCGAACGCTTATCTATTCAATAATATAATGTTAAATTTATTGTTACTTCTTAAATTTTTGTATGAACTTACCAAGCAAATAAAATGTGCACAAGCAATTTTAGTCCCTAAATTCATAGTACTTTTAATTAGTTCTAATACAGACGGGGTCATCTTTTCCAAAGATTCATAATCCGCATGTCTTATGCACTAAAATATTATCATATTAGAATAACGTTTTGCAATAATTTGAAGTGAAAAAAAACCTTGGTTATAGTTTCCATTGTATGATGAGATTTCGCAGCATCGGCTCTTATAGAATCGACAACCTCTTGCGCCTCACTATCTGCTCCAAGTCGCGTAGAGAGGTAGGATAGTTTTTGGGTTTCCAGTTCCCCAGTAGCTTGAAGTAAACACGGAATAAGCGATGGCAAATTAGGTTTAATCAATGAACCAGACGACTCAATTAATTCTGATATAGTTTTTATACTGCGAATAAAATATCATTAAATTATTCGCAACAATAGATGTTTTGAATGAAATATACCTTATTTTACGCACTTCAGGTACAGTATTTGTTACTCCAACTTCAAGAATTAATGGTATTATGGAACTAGAAACTGCCATTCCTGATTTACCATGCTCACTTGACGATGCTTGTACACAAATCTAAGCAAATTTTAAAAGGTATTTAAGCTTAATAGGATCTAATGATAAATACATTTTATACTTTGCTTAAGACGGTAGCGGTGCCTTCAGCCGCTAAACGTGTACCTTCATGAATATCATCCATTACACGAAAAAGTTGGTTCCATAATTCTTTTAACTCTGGTTCAGGGACTTCGCCATCTATTTTTAAAGCGATTTTATTAAATTCGTTAATAAAAAAGGAAAAAAACAAATACTTGCCTACATCCATTTTTTCTGCTCTTTCGCCTTTTAAATCTATCAAATAAAAAGAAAACAAGAAAAGTTGAATGAAATTTTTTGGAAACTTCTCAACTGGTTACCTTTCTCATCTGATCTCAATTTTAATCCATTTGGTCGCTTTAATAGATCTCTAACTGCCAAACAACATGCGATTCTTACACGCCATTCATTTGTCGTTAAATTTGTTAAAATTTCTTTCATAATGTCCCAGTAGTACATCTCAACAGCTTCTTTGGAATCTAAAACTATTGAATCCCATATTGAAATCATTGAATTTTGGATTTTTGGGGCTGGATCATATTTATAGCGAAAAAGTCTTGGAATAATTTTTCCTAAATACGGTTGCATTTTTGTTTTTGCATCTTTCGATATTGATTTTAAGCCGAATGCAGAACCTAATTTGCTATTCCAAGTTGCGTTATGATTAGCTAATTGCATAAATTGGTAAACCATATCTGGACGATTTAAATCGGACGCTAAGCTACACAGTTCTTTATAAGTTGTAATATTACCACTAAAATTGTTTAAATTTCAAATAAAATAGAAAATGTTTTATTTTAGAAAAAAATACCCAGTTGGGGCTTTGCCTAGAACTCCCTCAGCGAATAGTTCTGTATCCTCTTCAACTTTTCTTACTTGTCGTTTACCGCCAATTAATTGATTGAGCAATAAGTTAGCAAGATCATCCTGGCTATCAGAATCTGAAAGTGAATATACCAACCCAAGACCACGAGAAGCTACATCTTGAACAAAATCTTAAATGAAAGGAAATTCTTGTAAAGATTGAACATTAAATAGAAATATATTTCTAATCGTATTTACCACTGTCATCAGATAATAGTTCTGTAAAAGCAAATTGCAAATGTTGCTTTTTACTGAGTAATGTAGCCCGATGAGAACAATGTTTAACAATTCCAAGTAACCAAACTGAACACGATTGCCTTGAATGCGGATTAGTATCGGTGACAGATTTAATCAAACGATTCAAAAAATTATCGAATGTTTTATCATCACAATACTGATTTATAAAATTTTCATGTGGGGGTCCTTCATTTACATCGTAACCATTTAATGTACAAACTATAGCTTGTGAAATTGCAATATTTAATGCTGCATCTTTATTAACCTTAAGATAAGAAATAAACTTTTCAAGATTTTTTGCAGTGAAATAAGCCCCGTCTCCAATTGCCAAATTTCCTAAACAATGGGCGGCTTCTTCTCTTATATGTGCTCGCACAGAAGACGATTTTAAGAAATGAAAAACTGCTTCGAAAATTAATAACTTCGTACTGGTTTTATAATCTATTGACAAAAATTAAAATTGGCTAGTAAAATACCGGAAATATATTTTAGAAATTTTTCTCCTACTTTCTTCCGTTTCCATTTCTTCTTCGTCTTCTGGTTGTATAATCTGTTTGATTTCTACTTCAATTTGGGGAATTTCTGTCGATTTACCAATTAAGGAAAATCCTTTTATAGCTGCAGAGACCAAAAGTTGTTGTTCACATAACATTTGAGCTAATCGGATATTCATATTTATATTTGATTCTTTTTTGAATGATCGAAAATATATTACCCAATAATTTTACGCTATTTGTAAATACGTTCCATTGACGAAAATTCTTGTCTTGTTTTAAGTTTCCCATTGATTCAATTTTATTACTAAATGCGTGTCCAATTACTAACAACCAACCGTGCTTATGTTCTAAGGATTTTTGCGAAAAGGAATTAAGGCATTCTTTGAGTTTTTCATCAAAATCCTCATCATTTAAGCCATAACCTAGTAAAATACCATAAATTTGTGCCACATTTATGCGAGTTGTTTCAGATACATCCTTAAGAGAAATAGCTAAAGGATCTAAGAGATGCATTTGTGATTTCGTCAGTAATCCAGGGGAAGCCTTTAACAAATCATAGAGACATAACAAATTTGTTTGACCTACAAAAAATTTATACATTTAGAGTTCTTTTTATGTGAAGGAAAAAAAAAGTGAATAGGGAATAATTTATTTTACAAAATTACCTCTCTTTGCCTCAACAGATGTTTGAACCAAATTAAGATAACGATTTATTTCATTTTCTTCTGAGTCCTCATAATTTTTCAGAATATAGTCTCTTAGCTTGGAATTTTCATCATTACCTGGTGTTTTAACTCCAGCGGAGAACCATAAGCACAGACGTAAATAATCTAGAATCTGAATAAAAAACATAAAACAAAGTTTTATACACATTACAAATATTTTACCTCTTCGTAAGTATTCAAATTGAACGGCAAGGTTTTATTTCCAATTATAGTCTTAGGAATTGAGCTTGCCATACGTCTTTTGCTCATTTCCCAAATATGATTAACCAACGGCTTAAAACCTGGTAAAACAACTCGTCTTTGTTCCGAAAATAGTTTATTAAAATCATCTGGAACATCTTCTGGGTGATCAATAGAAGATAACATTGTATAATTGATTTGATCTTTTTTTGAAACACCGTATAAATGAGAAATAATACTCTCATGCAAAGACGATCTATAGCCGGCTATTAATAATAATAAATATCGAGCCGGTGGATAAGTTTCTGGAAAACAAGTTGTTAGAAATACGCTCGTCACATTTTGAACGATTTGAAGTTTTGATTCGGCATTATCAGAGAGCATCGCTAAGAGTAAATTTTGCTGTGGTGGCAAAGTAAATTCTTTGTTTTCATTTTCGCTATTGAAATTCCATGAAAATGCTGGAGCCATAGAAATTAATGCTTCTCGGATTGCGGTATGCAACTCGATAGGAGCCGAAGTCAAGTGGTTAAAGTACAGCACAACAAGCTTCAAATCCTGATTGAAAATTTCTGGGCAAGTTCGGGCTAGCTGTGCTACAGCTGAATACGCCGAGTTCTGTATTTCGATCGGTTCCTCTGAATCTCGAGCGATTAGTTTTGTTACACCAGTAAGAATTACTTTTGAAATTTTCGATAAAATTTCTTTCGGGGAGCTGAAATTAATGTTAAAATTTAGAAATTTAATGTTTAGAAATCTTATAAATACTAAAAAGAAAAAACTTACTCTTTAACTAAATTTTCACAAAATTTCAAACACAGAACTTTACATTTCTGATTTGTATTACCACCAAATAATCCTTCGAAAATAACTTTCATACCCTTTATTGTATTAATACCTTTGCCATGACATTTAATGAGATATTGCAAAAGCTTTTGACGGACTCTCGCACTACACGGAGTAGTTTTACGTTCTGCAATTTGGGAATCATTTCCCGAAAACAGCACATAAAGTGGAGCAGTGACATTCGGGTCCGTAAAATCTAAGGAATTATATACCTTACTTAACTCCGCTATTGCCGGCGTTGCAACACTAAATCTAGTATCAGAGGAAGCCAGCACTAATAGTGTAAATGATTCAACCTCATTAAATATGCCGCTACATATAAAACGAACTACACCTTTTTTCATGCTTTCTAAATCTTCAGCACTCCAATTATTAGCAATTAATCTTTTAAAAGAAGAAGGACTTAAACCCGGAGGTACATCTGCTTCATGTGTGACCCTATGTTAAAAAGATAGGTAGAATTATAAATTAGATATACTTATATATGTTGTACCCGTAGGGAAGCAATAAAACATCTTGCAGCATATTTAAGAATAATTTTTTAGTGTTTGGCTTTTCATCTAAACCAAATGTTGCTTTTCTTTGATCAGGATCGTCAGGAATTTTTATTTTTTCCAGTAATGGTAAAATTAACAGTAGTAACCTAAAATTAAAAAACTTTTAAGTTTAAACCTAAAGGTTTGAAAAATTTCATAGTTTTTAAATAATTTTTCAACTTGCTTATCTTGATGTATTTCCGCCTTGCCTTCCAAGCAATTTAGTAAATTCGGTGCTAATTCAGACTGTTTATCTATTGGTAATCTGGGATAGCCCATTTTAATATAAATTATTGAAAAATTATGCAAAAATGCTGAATCTGAATCTTTAAATTGATTTAAGAGAGCTTCTACAGGTATTTGGACATTTGAACGAGATTTCAATCGTTTATTTAAATGAGTCAAAACTTCAATGACCTTAAATTAAAATACAAATACAATTTTATATTTTTTATGTACATAAATAAAATTTGAAATATAAATAAAAATTTGTAATAAAAATTTTTTAAAGTACTTACTTTACAGCGAACATTCTCATGAGGTGAGGTTATTTTAAGAATGACGGGAGCAAGAAATTTTCCAACAGCAGTTTCCAATTTTTCATCCGTGTCTGCATTTCCAAATCTTAACAGAACACGTTCTAATAATTCTGAAAATTTATATAGTTTATTTTAAGATTCGTTTTAAAATGAAACTAATGAATTATTTTATTATATGTTAAGATGTATAACTATTTTCTGAAATCTTTCATAAAATACTTTACTATTAAAAACTAATTGGAAAAAAAAATTTATTTAAAAAAAATGACTATTTATTATACATATTTTATATTAAATTTACCAATTTCTTCCTTGGTTGATGATGACATCTTGTTTTTTAAAGAAGTTTTCCTTTAAATGTACCTACAATTTTACTGCAGCTGTCTCTGGTTAGTTAAGTTTATTTTTTGAAATGTCATTGGATTACATTTAAAGTCAAAATGACAGTTGTTTATAGACAAAAAGGGTCTTTCCACACTGTTTACATAATTTATTAAACATTGAAGGTTACAATAAAATTCTCCTATAAAAAATTATACTCTGTGTTTACACTTTTCCTGACTTCAAAATTGTAGCAATAAAGTATTTGTACAAAATTCAGTTTACGAGTTCTAATGACTGAAATATGTATTTTTACAGTATTGCTGTAATTTTGAATATACGCTTTCTATACATTTAAATTGTATATTTTAATTATATATGCATATGTATATGCAAGATTTTGTTTAGATTGACACATATTTCTTCAAATTCTAGATAAATTCGGCATACTAACTACTTTATCATGAAGAAACATTATCAGTATTATCAAGAAACTTGATAAAACTATTAAATATAAATTATACTGACAGTAATACAAATTATCAATGTTTTTTACTTGATCTTCAAGAAAGATTCTTAACGCTAACTTCAAAAATTTTTGTTAAAAAAAGATTGGTTATAATATAGTAATTGAAAATTCAATTAAAGATTAAACACGGTCTTGAATTTTACAGACTGAAACTTTTTTTGCCAAGTTTTGATAAAATGCTACTGAATGCTTCTAAGGTTGCTCGATCATGTTTTCATATTGCGCACATGAAACGAGTAATTAAATTTTATATTAAAGATTCTTTTATATGTATGCTAGCCAACTTTTTTCGCTGGATTCATTTTTTTATAAAGATAATGCAGTTTATAATGCTTAAGTAACTTATAAAATAAATTTTTTTTGAGCTTTTTCTACTACTACTTACTAGAAAAAAATAAACTTACCAAAATCTAATCTAATATACCAGACTTACAATTCATACCTGTTATCTGTAATTTATAATTAACATTAAGAAAAAAAGAAATTTGTTTATTGTTTTATTTATATTTATCCTTTTTCTATTTTACAACACTCTTTTATACATATCAAATATACAGGATCTACTATACTTAGTCCTAACAGATGTGGCAAAATAACACTAACAGAGTTCATTCATTGAGTAATCATTTAATTTAGAAACATAACATTCAACATTGCAAAGCTCACGACCTTTTTTTAACATAAAGCCATTTTCATACAAAAAAATTATTAAAAGTTGTTTTGCCTTGATCACTTTCCCATTCTCTCATCTTTTGTTCTTTCTTCTCATTAAAATTAGAAAACGGAATTGTTGTTGCAATTGGTTCTAATTTATTATTTATAACCATTTGAATAAAACAGAGATAAAGAAAAATATTGCAAATAAAAAACTCAAAATGTGATATCGTGGTTCGTGAGATCATAATTCATAGAGATATGTATACATTTTTTTCTCTTTCATAATGAAATGAGTGATAATAATATATTTCATATTTTATGTAATTGTATGTACATATTAATATTAATATAATTGGACATTTCATATTTAATTACACAAAATTAATTACATAAACAAACAAACATTAACATTATCTTATTTTCCCTTTATGTGTGAGTTGGAAATATTTTAATTCATGTAAGGAAGAGCTAAAGAAACTAAAATTGCAAGTATATAAAGGTGAGTGAACTAAATATTAATATTTATTTTAGAACATCTTTGATTCCATTTTATCATAATGTAACAATTTTTTTACTTTTTTTTTAGATGTAGCAGGTATTTTAAAAAGGTTTGGAAGACAGCGGTCCAAACTACCTATCTATCTATCTGGTGTTTACTTAACATTCTAAGGCGCATAATTAATACCTTACCTCATCTTATTCAAATAAGTATATACTTTTTCTGCTCTAATAATACATATACATACCAAAAATAAGATTTTACGTCAACTTTCCTTTTTGATTTTTTGTTCATATCAAAAATAAAACGAATATCTATGACTCGTTTGAGAATAGAGTTGAGTGGAGTTACTTAGTTTCTTGAAAACTTATTAAAAATCTGTACGCATTATGTAGATACATACTAAATAAAATAATACGAGTACAAGTTTCTGAAATGAAAGGACATATTTTGTAGATGTATGCATTATGAGTAAGTAAAGAAGTAAAGTTGACGTAAAATCTTATTTTTGGTATATGTATTATTAGAGCAGAAAAAGTATATACTTATTTGAATAAGATGAGGTAAGGTATTAATTATGCGCCTTAGAATGTTAAGTAAACACCAGATAGATAGATAGGTAGTTTGGACCGCTGTCTTCCAAACCTTTTTAAAATACCTGCTACATCTAAAAAAAAAGTAAAAAAATTGTTACATTATGATAAAATGGAATCAAAGATGTTCTAAAATAAATATTAATATTTAGTTCACTCACCTTTATATACTTGCAATTTTAGTTTCTTTAGCTCTTCCTTACATGAATTAAAATATTTCCAACTCACACATAAAGGGAAAATAAGATAATGTTAATGTTTGTTTGTTTATGTAATTAATTTTGTGTAATTAAATATGAAATGTCCAATTATATTAATATTAATATGTACATACAATTACATAAAATATGAAATATATTATTATCACTCATTTCATTATGAAAGAGAAAAAAATGTATACATATCTCTATGAATTATGATCTCACGAACCACGATATCACATTTTGAGTTTTTTATTTGCAATATTTTTCTTTATCTCTGTTTTATTCAAATGGTTATAAATAATAAATTAGAACCAATTGCAACAACAATTCCGTTTTCTAATTTTAATGAGAAGAAAGAACAAAAGATGAGAGAATGGGAAAGTGATCAAGGCAAAACAACTTTTAATAATTTTTTTGTATGAAAATGGCTTTATGTTAAAAAAAGGTCGTGAGCTTTGCAATGTTGAATGTTATGTTTCTAAATTAAATGATTACTCAATGAATGAACTCTGTTAGTGTTATTTTGCCACATCTGTTAGGACTAAGTATAGTAGATCCGTTTTTTATTCCATTTTTTAATTTAATAACATGAAAGGGGAAAAAATGAGAGAATTTGAATATTAAGGACTTATTTTGTTGAAAGGTCATGAGTGTTGTTTTTTTTTGTATGAAAATGGCCTTATTTTTGAAAGAGGTCTCTACTCTTGGAATGTGCACATTTAGTGGTTGTGAGAGGCATTTTTCCAGTGCAAAATGTACATTTTTGTGCATTTTGGTTTGTGCTCCTTTTGGACGAAGTGTATGCCGCTCAGAAAAATACGATAAGAGTTAATTTTGAATTAGATTATATTTCATTTAGAATTTTAATTTTATAAAAGTAAAGGTAAGTAAAAATTTTCTTTAAGGCAATAAAATTTTTTATAAAGATGTAATTGTATATAAAATTTCAGCTTCATATTTTAAAGGATGTAGAAGTTTTGTGTAAACAGACGAACAGAACTGGCAAAATGACCGACTGGATGAAAGGACAGTATAAAACTGATAAGCCCATTTTTCTTTCCATTTTTTTTAGATACATTTTATTTTCATTTTCTTTTTTTTAAATTAGTGTATGTCAGCATTTTTTTTATTTATTTTCATTTCTTCCTTTTTATTTTTATATCGGAAAAAAATATTACATCATATAAGATTGTTCGTTGTCTCTTGTTTTTGGTTTGTTGCAATTAAATAAATTTAAAGATCATTTAATATCATAAAAAATTTATAAACTTATGGAACTGCTTTTCATTGTATTAATAAAAATTTTATTAATGTGCCGACTTAGATTCCTATTAAAAGTGCGGTATACAAGTAAAGATTTCTCTTTTATACAGATAAAGAATTTTTATTAAAATAAAATTAAATATTTTTAATATTTTAATAGTTAAGTTTTAAAAATTATGTATAAAAATAATATTTAATTTTATGAAACATTGTTTATAATGTTTTTGGTTTGAATAATCCAAGCAAATAAAGTTTAATTTTTAATATTCAAAAGCGTGTAATTTTGCTTACATCGCACCCCTAGTACAATCGCTTAAGAAGTCAATAAAAATTCATTTTCAATTTAAGCATAACGTTAAAAACACGAATTATCTTCTCCTTATTTTAGTCATCATTGCAATATCTAAAAAATTAGGTCTTTTGTTTTTGTTGATTGGCTGAAATTAATTTTAATTATAAAATTGCAGTTTTTTGTATTATCCCTACCCTATAACTGAATTTTTACTATGTTTTGTTCTATTGCAAATTGAGAAGAAATATTATGATTTCATTTTGCTCAAATTACATACTGAATTAACTCAAAACTAAATTCGAAATATTCCGGTATTGTTTTCAAGGTGCAATATATTTCCCGATTTTTGAATTAAAGCTTGTTATAATTGTAGTTAAATTTAATAAAGAATAAAAAGTTTATAATATTTGGAAAAAGTTATATTGAGATTTTTATTATAGCATAAAAAAAATTTTAGTTGGACTTAAATGTAAGTGATTTCTAATGAAAAATATTTCTAAATATTTTCCATGTACCAAATGTAATGACAGGTCACTGACAATATGTATCAGAAAAATATTTCAGCAAATTTCAAAATAGTTAAAAATTTGGCAAGAAGAAAGTAGATAAACATACATATTTAAACAGAAAATTTTAATTCTTTTGGAGGAATTATACAAGGATACAAGGAATTAGACAAATAAAAATTTGGTCGACGTACATTTACTATGTATATGGTATATGTATGTCGAAGTTCAGAGGCTACTTAACTACTCATTCTTTTTAATGAACATGCCATGAATAAATAATAACCCATTGAAATTAAACCATTCTTTGTATAAGTATGATAATTAATAAAATACTCACAGCGAAGATTTCTATTCTATATTGTATTTTTCTATTGTAAATGTTTTCAATTTTTCTACTTCTCTTTTGTATTATACTCTTTAGATATTTTAAATATATTAATAATTTTTATAACATTTAATAATGATGAGCAATTAAGGAGCATTTTTATATTAACACTTAACAGAAGAAGATATC